GCTAGAAATCTAAGTGAATCTAAGTGAATCTAAGTGAATCCAATTTTGCCAGAGTTGATTCACTTGAGTCTCTCTTACCGGTATTTATTTTTTCAAGAACAAATTCAATAGCTTAAAAGGTGCACAATGTGACTTTCCTGGTGGAGGATTAGGCACTTTTTTGTCTCCATGATGCTACAGCTTGTTTAGAATGTTCTATCACACTTATTTTTCTCTACTGGGAGATAGGGGGCACCACCAGGCCTAGTTAAAGTGCCAATGACAGGTTGACCTACTCATTTTCCTAAAATACATCTAGGATCATTGTATTTAAGATATTTGCAAAAACATGCACATTCCTTTTCCATTTTAGCTTTAAATGTTACTTTCTGGTTGGAAATCGTGACATCACACTTGGTAATTTGATAACTGTTACATAGCCAAATCCCTCTAATGTACACAGTAATTATTATCTGACAAATGCAAATATAAGAAAGCACCTTTTGTTTTGTTGAAATCATCAGAAAAAAAATGCTTCTTTTGTGTAAATTGTGCCGAACTTTTGGAAAGAATTCTCCCTAGTGTGATGCCATCGATATGAACTCTACTTCCTGTCATTTTCAACATATTTTTCAACTTTTCTTTGTCAATTACTTCTTGGTTGGTATAAAACTAGGTCTTATTCCACCAAATTAAGTCAAAATTATAGAATCATAAAAGGTCAGACCTGTTGAGAAAGCACCTTGCTCACATCAATATATGTTTTCGCAAGGTATTTTTATGTAATAAAAACACCTATAATTGAGTTCAATGTAAGACACATATATTTAATGGCAGTGTGGAATCCAAGGGCATCCCATAAGACCACACACACTGGATAAGAAAGTCTGATCATGTACTACAGTGTTTTGAATGCCGACTCTGTACCATTTGATAACAATAGCAGCTCTGTATTGCATCTATTACCTTTAAACTTAGCAGTGTGCGTGGTATATGTCTGCAATCCAATCGCCTTATCCATGACAAAAACACCTTGACAATAGAATGGGGATGTGACCGCAAGTGATCTTAAATCAAATCTGTGTGTTTTTTCCCATAAGTCATTTTCGGATATAGCTATAGCCTAACATGATGAAGCAATAACCTCTCCAGTTTAGGTCAGGCACTATGATAATGCCTGCCCGATAGCTACATCCCTGCCCATATATTCGTGAAATAAATATTCATTTCATCTGTGCCTTGCCTTGGTCTCTCCACCAGTCCCTTCGGTTCAGCGGTGTGTAAACAAGAGCTACATGTGGAGATATTGGCAGAAATCTCAGTGGGATATGTGTAACGGAGACAGAAATATAGCAGTACAGGCTGGGACTGAGGGGATCCAGGGCACCAAATAAGAATATTGGATTCAGTTCCACATGCAAGCGCCTCTCCTTCATATGCATGTAAAAAGCTCCATAGAGCTGGCACACATATGTTTAGCGTCGCACTGTGCTAACTGCATGGCCCCGGTGGCCCTTCTCCATAATATAATCTCATCCCTTCCTCAAGATCCCACACCAATATGTCACAATTGTCATGGATTCCCCAATATGGCTCCCTGATTCACACTGAACAGAGCGGGATACTGTCAGGAAGATGGACACGCAAATGCAGATTTTATTTTATGTCTTCTTTTGTGCTGCATTAACAGTATATAACTATAGATATATATATATATACTAAATATTACACAGGTAAGTCAAATGAATGAACTGTAGCACATATGTAGCAAACCTGGGATTTAAATTTAATCTTAGTTTTTTTTTACATCTATTCTGAGCTGGATAATAATTGTTCACAAATTAGATTATTATTTGGTTACAATCAAATCTTAAAGTGTGCATCTAATTTTGACTTAATTTAGTGTGATTGTAATTATTGTAAATATAAATTATAATTTTACACCAATCAAGAAGCAATTTGCAAAGAAAATATGTTGAAAATTACATGAAGTACAGGAGAGTTCAAACATACAATATGGGGAATTCTATCCAAATGTTCAGCACAATTTACACATAAACTTTAAATATGATTTCATCAAAATGATGGTGTTTTCTTGTATTTCTATTTGTCAGATAATCATTTCTGTGTACATAAGATGATTTGCTAGGTAAAAGTTATTATTACCTAGTCTGATGTCACAATTTCCAATAAGGAACAGGTACATTTTTAACTTGTCATAGGCATTTTCATTATTTATATTTTACTTTTAATTTCAGCCATGAACACTGAAATCATCCCAATCTCCTCTCCTGAGAGAGCTGAGATGATAATGTGAGACTTTACCACCTGAGGAAATAATGTGTTTAAATGTATAGAGCAGCCAGCATGTGGGATCACCAATCTTCAGCTTGAATACATTCGGTCTTAAAATTGTCTCTGAACGTCTGTGACAAACAGTGTGAAAACTAACATTGATTTGGGCTTATCTTACTGCTCATCTGAACCAAAAACGCCCACCTGACTGATAGCGGGCTGAGGTGAGAGCGCTTAAGACCGGCTACAAAAGGTGTAATGACAAGAGAGCAACGGAGCTTTGCAGACAATTCACTCCAGATCCAAACATATTGACTTTGTGATAAAAGATCTGACAAGAATCTCTGCCATTCATATCAAGTGTCACAGAAGTACCATTAACAAACATGGACATGCACCCATCTTCAAGACTCAAGTCAGAGCCAGAAAAAAAATCAACCAAACAAAAAAACATATGAGACACGCATACTGCTGGTAGAGGTATACAGCTACATATATTTAGTAACCTAATTTTCCTTTTGTCTTATAGGCTGCACACTAGTTCAGTCAAATTGTAAAGAGTATGTCGATAACAAAGGAAGTCTATATCCAGATTATCTTCCACAATGAGCAGCTATTATGAGCCAGTGTAAAACCATAAAAACTAAATACAAATTACTTATAATCAAATTGACATGTGAACCGACAAATCTATGATCACTTATATACAGTAATATGAATCCTTGAATAACTGACCTTTACATGCAGTTTTGAAATAATATATTTTGTATTTAATAACCAGTGGAAATTAAAGGTCTTGAGAAGCTTTTGTGTGAGGTTAATAGAGGAATAACGTGATCTGATCTTAATGAGACAGAAGATATACCCTTGAGACTACAGCAGCCCAGAGAGGACATTTCCAGCTACCTGTTAAACAGTCTGGTGCAAATGAAAGAATCTTTACAGGGAGCGCCTACCTCTCCAGTCTGGCACTGGGAGCTGTAATAATTACCCACAGAGACTACAGAAACCTGTGGGAGACATATCACCTGCTAATTAGTATGCAATAACCTGCTTTCGATTCCCAGAATGCCTGCATTAAACATAAATATATACATTAATTGCATTGTTATGGAAATGTGCTCCTTGTGGATTATTTGTGGTTTGAAGTTATTAAAGGCAATGAATGCTTAAAGTACATCTATAGCTGTGCCTACGAAACCCTTGCCTCTATAGAAGCACTTGTGTCTTGAGTAAATAATATCATCAAGTACTTCTACTTTTCTGGTAGAGGCAGCTAGCAGCTCCAGCGCCAAGGATGTTCCAAAGTAGGCACATTTGACCAAAATTGTCTTGTATTTTGAATCTACCTATTTTGAAGCTACCTTCCATCACTATGTGCAAGTGAAACCAGCAAAACATCATTATCAATAGTCCTCCAATTTAAAGAGCCAGAAGGGTCCACAGACTCCACCAGCTCTGAGCATACCTGAGCAGCAAACATGAATTATTATGCAAATATAATAAGCAAAAGTGTTTGCTTTGGCAGAGATGATTTCAGTGTTTATTAATCCTTTGCTGTGTTCAGTGCATGAAGGAAACTTTACAACATTTAATTGGGCATTTAGGATCTGCAACACCTGGCTGCTAGCTCTACTCATTACTCCGAGATTACAACAGTGTCTTTTCTGTTTTGGCAACCATAAAAACAGTGATTCTCATTTCAATTTCTTTGTTTACACTTGCGGTGATTTAAATTAGAAGAGGCTAATTTGCATTTTGTGCTTTGTCTTTATCGTCTTTTGTTAAACAATGCTAAAACAAAAGTCGTACAGTGCTGAGGATATGAGACAAGCTGTCCTAATGAAGTAAAGACATGCTTCAGAAAGTGTTCTTAAAAGGTACAATTATTTATATTTACTACTTACACCCGCTGAGTGAATACAGTAACATTTTTATTTCTGTGTTTCATTACATAAATATCATTATTAGTATTTCCAGCGGCTTCTCTGTGGGTTTCAGACAATTACAAGGGTAAACTTAATCAAACAGAAAGAAGCAGAAACAGAAATGAAAAGTGTATCTGGATAATAGAGCTGGTATGAGGCTAACGCTGAATCAGGACTGTTTAAACATTCAGCAGCTTTTGTGCCAGTAAGTCTCTTTTCAAATGACTAATTTCTTAAAGTAATCTAAAAATAAATATATTTGAATAGAATCTGAAAACCGATTTGTTCTGCCATCTGTTTGTCTCTACAGAGATGTTATTACTTACCAATGTCCATAAAGAATGTTTCAGCATTTGACTGTAATTCTCTATTTCCATGAAGTCAACATTAGCATAAAAAGGAGGTCTAATGGTCACTATATTACGGCCAGAACCATCAGAAATCAAAATCAGACATCTCAGTCAGCCTTTCACTCAGGTGCAGATTTTTCACATTAACCAAAATAAAATAGTAAAGGGTTTACACAAGGGTTCAACAATGACTTTAGGCACTGACCTCATGAAAATGTGGCTGAGGGTCTAATACCAGCCAAACCATCTTTATTATTCATAATATGTGATTTTTGCGGGCAAATGCTAATAGGGAAATACTTTTTTACTATGTGCCCATCAGCAGAAATCTTACACGGTGCTGCTTTATGCAAGCACAAATCTGATATCAAAAGCAGCATTTGGAAAATACATTTGAAGTTATCACAACAATTGGACTGTGGACCATGTGCCCAGAGATAGTGCCTACCTTTGACCTCCTTCTCGTTCCTAAACCAGCGCAGGTCGGCGGCGGGTTTGCTGCCCTGGCTGCTGCATGTCAGGGTGATCTGGTCACCTTCCAAAGCAGGCTTCGTCAGACCCTCGATCTCTGGCTTTGCAGGTACACCTGAGACACAAACAGTTACTCTCTCACTGTTTTGATTATGGTGACATTATAACCTCATGACCATTAGTAGTTTTGACCATTAGTGCAAAACTGGATTCATATATCAGACATGAAATATTTCCATTCTCATGATCACTGTGTACACGCCACTGGGCAAACAGAGCCAAGGCCGCCAGGTTGTACAGAAAATGTTAATTACTTGCATTTCCAATAATGAGTGTTTTAAGCATGTAGAGTGTGCCCTTCTCATGTCAATGAGCAATACAGCTGCCTCAGGCTGACGGACTGGAGCTCTGTCAGTCAATGCTATTGACCGTGTGTGGCCTTGTCCGTCTCAGCACATCCTGTAAGCTTTATTACTGCACTTAAAGATCCCTTTGTTTACTCGGGCCACGAAGGAGAACAATATGGTCAGTAACGTATGAACTCTGCAAGAACCACTGTACCACATTTACTTCAATGTGTACACAAACTGGATCTGTGATTTTTGAAAAACCTCAAGCAGATCTAAAAGAAAAAAAAACAAACTCCAGAGATCGAAAACCAAAACTGACCAAAATTGAATTTTGTAGTACTAATCCAGCTACAACAATGTGAATCATAAATCATCATTTATTTGATTAGAGTAAAATAATATTCATCTTTGTATCAGCTAAATAACCATGTATTTTTTTATTAAAACCTTTTTATGTGAACTAGCTCACCACATTAATTATTGTTTCATTTCCCCACATCATTCTCTCTATATCCCTATTGAACAGTAGGCCTTAATGTGATGTAATTCTCCCATTGCTTGTTAACACACCAAGCCAGCTAATGGTCCTGGAGAGCACTAGCACATCTATTAGCATTAGCGAAAACTAATTGGCAACATAATAAGCTCTGTGGCAGGAAATGAGACAATGTTTATACATGGAGATGATCTGAACACAAAACATGCTGAGGGATCGGACAGCCTTACAATATACCGCCATTTCATGCGAGTAATGATATAATGTAATGTAATCAACAGGAAGCAAGCACATGGGGGAGAGAAGGTTTGTATTGATTCACATTTCTTGAGAGAACCAGGCAATTTTACTGTGTTTTGATCTGAAGATGGATGCTATTACGTTTAACACTGGTCCACAAAAATCACATTCAAATGGTAAATAGTGTAACATTCTGAACTGGAACTACTAAAAGGTGCACTATGTAACTTGGGAGCGAATGAGTAATAAGTACAGTGTAGTACTTTGAGAGGCTTCGACTGGGAGCTTAGTGGAGAGCATTAAATCCTGAAGTAGAAATGTTTAATTGCGTGTCCATTCATTAACCATCTGCTTACTCACATTAAGGGTCACTGGTGTAATGAGCCTTTCCCAAACAAGCACTTTTGTTTTGTGCTATAACAAATCTACATCTACACACCATTTATATAAAATATGAAATCATGTAAACATTTAAAGGTGCAAGCTGAACTTTACTGATGGGGCTCTGAAAGATTCTTGTCTTAATGGAGATGTTATTGCCTCTGGAATGTTTCACAGTATGGCATTAATCTTGCATCTATTCAATTAGAGGCATTTTATTGCTTGAAAAACATACATTGTTATTGAGTTATTTTGTTTAATAGTTATTTTACTATTTCTCTCCACAGATTTGACCTGTAACTTAGGCTGGTCACATTGCCTCCTTGTCTTCGTGGAAATAGCTTATTTTAATGTCATACTATGGAACATTCTAGGGAAAGCAATAACATCCCTTTCGAGAGAAGCAGGTGACTGACCCTTTGCCAGAAAAGTTACATCGTGCACCTTTCTTTTCTATAGTGCCATTTGTTTGGATGTAAGTTGCTCTCACCTAGTACAGTCAGGTAGGCTTTGGCTGTTCTGATGGGCATGGTGAAGAGAGAGCAGGTGTATCTGCCCTCGTCTGACAGAGACACGTCACTGATGCTGATAGTGAGCTCGGACGACGTGGCACGAACCAGCTCGATCCGGTTATCCCTCAGAGCTGCAAGACACAAAGAGAGAGAAGAACGGATTACATACAAACAGTAAAAGGGACCATTTCTCACTGTATCTTGCAATGTGAAGAACCATGTAACCATCTATATTGCATATTTAGATCACTGAAAGAAGACAACAGAAAGAAACTTGGCCTATTTAAATTAAGAATTTGGTTTCTCTTTTTGCACATTTAAAAAATAAAAATAAAAAATAAAAAACTGAACCTCTGCACCCACACAAGATGCACTGTTAAAGCAGGTGACTAAAAGATTTTATATTTTGGAAAAAAGACAAAGACAAACTGATATAAAACTTTTAAAAGCAACATTATTTAGTGTTGAAACTAACTGCTATCAGGTTTAAATTCTCATTGGATGTTGTTAGGGATGTTAAAACAAATAGACGAAGTAGCAGACAAAGTAGAAGATAGCTGTGTTACAAAGAACATTCTTTAAATGTTTGATTGATTCAGTCTGAAAAGCTTTGTAAACGTATAAGACATAACTTTCAAAACCCCATGGCAGAAATTGAGAGAAAAGTGGTAATAAAGGATCAAAAAGTATCTGTAGAACTTGTGGAATTGAAAAATACATGCTTGAGTGGATCCCCAGAGTGCACTATACATTCTCTCTGCTGGAAAACCACATCACCATTTTACTTATATGAAAATGTAATCTTCCAAAAGACATAACGGCAATGGAAATCAATAGCACAATAAGCAGGAGAGAAAGAGCCCTAATGAGAGATGTGAGAGTTGTATTGGATTTGCAGAAAATTGCGCGGCCAGTTGAAAGAGGTGTGTACTTCATCTGATACAGTGAGAATTATTCCACAGTGTAGCTACATATCAGACGTGGCCAGGATGACATCTGAGCTATTGTAAGAAAAGATATTGTGAAAGAGCACTGTGTTTGGAGTGCTGGAGTCTGACTGTGCACAGCCGTAGTCAAAGAGATGTGCTGTAGCTGAACCTTGATTTTGTGAGTTTCAATAAATCTTACTTAAGACGAAAAACCAAGGCTGTATTGTGCTCTGCTTTTAACTGTCTGAAGCATTAAGGTATGTGTGGTGTGCCTGGATGTGCTACGGGACAATAGGCAGACAGAATGTGACAGAAATCTAGATGATTATGTTTTCTTGTGTAAAAATTGTCAACAAAGAGGCTGTCAAAAGTAGGTGTAAAATAGGTCTACCAAACACAAAGCTGAACTGAACTGAGAACAAGATAAGGCCAGGTTAAAAACAACTATATATCAAAGAAGAGCAAACTAAGACGGCATTGAAATTAAACATGGTTGAAACAGTACGTCTTTATATGTTCACTAAATATTCAGTAAATTGAACATATGTCAGTCACTGTGGAAATCTTTGAAGAAAGCTAAAGGGTATTATTTTGGGCAAAAAAAAAGTACCTGAGAATGATTCTTACTTCAACTGGGATTTCAACATTTTTAATAAAACAATAAATTCTTAGGTTACATTCTTAGGTTACCAGCTCTAATTAATCTGTGACTAACAAGTGAACAGAGCAACAGACTGAAAAGCCAAGGCTTGTTGGCCAACAAAAGGACTGTTTCTGCCAGAACACAGTGGTGGCTTTGAAGGAGACTTCAGGGCTTCACTCCCTCTGTCTGAGAAAGACGAAGTCTGACTGGGAAGGGACACAAGTGAAAGTGAGTAAAGTTTTCAGTCCTGCATTACATGGGGAGACAAACAAAACTCATTTGGTAGCACTTTAATAATGACTACACACGTCTGGTCTCATTCCTCTCCAGTAATTTGCATATTCATTTGGCAAAGGCAGATGACTATCCTGATGTTCCAGGCATACAATTCTTACAGTGTTTGGTTGGCCATGCTATGCTTGGCTTTAGGCACAGAGTCTCTACTGTGAGCCTGCCTCAGGACTACCATGCCTACAGAACAACCAAGTGTGATCCAAACAAACAACAACAAAACTTACAGCTATTATTATATTTGATTATATTTCATGCTTATGCTTCCTGTTATAACGCTCCATTTGGAGGACATAACTGAATTTTCAATTTCTATGGCAACAGTCCTAACTTTTCTTCATTCTGAAACCCATGGATGGTGAGCAAATTGGCAGTGGCCTGATTAAAAAACAAGAAATATGATTATTCACACCACCACACCACCAGACCATATATCTGCACTGTCCTGCTTTAACTATACACTTTTCATTGTATGTTTTTATCATTAAATTTAATGTGTTTATTGTTGTAAGGCAACCTTGAGTGCACAGAAAGGCATCTAATAATAAATAATAATAATACATTTTAGTTATGAAAAAAAAAAATCTTAATCATGAAAACAGAACACAGATTTCATGTTACTATGATGAGAGTAAAATAAATAACTCATATTTATCTGAAGCACACAATACTGCACAGCGACCTTGAAGATTGCAACTAAATGATCTTACATGATGACTCTTTGTATTAGTTTACATTGGCTGCCTTCAGTTCATTCCAACAACACATCTATGAACATTTCCACACACTCAGAGCTAGTTTGTCATCTGCTGGTGAGTTCTGAGCCCTGGAGGTGAATGTGAAAGCAGATGTCAGATGCATTTTTACTGCAAAGTGCACACAGCAAACACTAATGTTATGAAATGTCAACCCCAGTTCACAATCTGGTGTCTACAGCGTGCCAGTAAAAATCCAGACTCAAACCCCACAGTAAACACAAGCACTGTTCTAATAAGTTTGACCAATTCATACCCATTCATCGCCATACATTTGTCTCCTTATCTTTGTGTGTTTGACCTGTCTCATTCAGATATGGACACATGACATAATGAGACTCTGGGAGGCTCCGTATGTAACTGACATGTGTCCAGTACAGTGTAGTTACAGCCACATTAAAATATAACACACATCATATACAACCACAGCATAACCAGTTTTTTGGTTTAGTTGACAGTATCTCTCCCCCTCTACACAGTAACATAAAACCACTAGAGGAGATACTAAGGCTATCAATACCTAAATACTAATCAATAGGAAGACTAGACTACTAATATGACCAGGTATAGATTTTGAAAAACGTACTTAAATTATCATAACTAGCATAAGATCGTAAAACTTGTAATAATATTAATAAATGGCTTGGGTTGAAAATAACATTGTGGCATTGCAAATGGTTCAAGAAGACTTTTCCTTAGTATTAAAATTGAGGTTGAAATTTTGGTATTGTGCCAACATTTATAAACACATATATTTGTATCACAGTTTGAGAAGCACATATAGATAGAGCAGGTATTGTAGTAGAGTCCGCGAGCTCCTCGCAGTGCAGACCTCATTCTGGTGAACCACAGCCACTCACATGTTCACGTTAAACAGGAAAGAGACTCCACTCTTCACTTAGGTTAGTTTTGGGCATTAAGAGTGAGCTGGAAAATGCATATAGGAAATACATTTTGCTGCCTTTACCCACCAGTTTCTACCTTTCCTGAAACATGCATTGTTACCATGTCTGAATAGTATATTGAAATAGATTAAAGTGATTACAGTGTCACCTAATAATGAACAATTCGCTGTATAATTCCCATTGTATTTATTGAAATATAGTTTTACAGTTTTTCAATCATTGACATGTTGTTTATATAATATTCTTACAGTTACACATGTACTTTTAAATTCCAAAACAAGGTATAGGCAAATTCGTCATCTTGACACTCCTGACTGATTCTGTCTCTAGATCTGGAGATGGATTCCTTGGTACTGCACCATAGTCGCCCACTGCACCTGACAGGTCACCCAAAGGCACAGGAGTTGACGGACGGATGGACAAATTTCCCTACAGGGACAACACATTCTATAAATACAAACATGTACAAAGAACTATAGAAAGCCTTTGGTTAAAGAGGATCACTTCGAAACGGGTAAAGCTATTGTACTTGTCCCTAAGATAACTATTTTTGCCATCTTAACTCTTACTTAATTTAATTGCTTGTCTGTAGTGTCACTCTCGTCTTAAACCACATTTAATATACTCTAAATGTGAAGAGCTGAATTAAATAGGACTTCTGCCACTGGCCATGCACAAATTGAACTAAAAGATGAAGTTTTATGCTGCAGTCTGAATATAGCTCCAATGCAGAGATTTTGATAACGTGTATGTTGGGTTTGATAGCTCAGTAATAAGGATCTGAAAACGCCTATTGAGAATTTTATGGTGAACTGAGGCTCACCCGGAGTCCCCCGAAGAGTGCATTCAGGGTGGGTTTAAGAACATGAAAGGTGTTATATAAGGTGTGAAATGAACTAAACTCCCACACAATTATCCAGGCGTGGGAAGGCTAATATCCTCCTGGCAACATCCTAATACAGAAAGCGCGCAACTCGCGAATTATTATGTAAAGTCTCAAAGGAGGGAGAAGGGTGGAATTCAGAGTTTGGGGTAAAGAGTTGATTGAGTGAGGTTTATTAAGGATACGACTCAAAACGCTCAGTTATATGACATTATTATAGCTCAGTTTATGATGGAAATTAGCCTGAATCATCAGCCAGTTTTAGTTCGTTTCACTTCGTACAAACCGTCTGACCTCGCAGCCTTAGATTTTGTTCACTCACTTGTTGTAGGCGGGTACTTTTTAATCATTTAACCAATCGCTGCTATTTGGTCGTGACATATGTAATGCGCTGCTAATGAGGCTAACTGGTATATTAAGCTTTTCCCAAATCCCGTAGGAAGAAGGGCAATAACGTCTTTCCTTTTGATGAAATTCACCAAACATTCTCTTTGTCTTTGTTCCGGCTTTAAATCCTCGATCTCGGAAATCGTTGACAACACTGAATATATCACTCTTCGCTGATTGGCTGGTGCCTGAACTTGCACTTCAGAGGTTTTTGAAACCATCTATTATATTTTGATTCCTGACCTTGTTGCTGGAGAGAAATTAAATTGAGTGGAGGCACTAGGTGGTACCAGCCTGGCTAATATTGCAGTAGTTTCTGATCTATGTTATTTCCAAGG